CTTTTCCACCTCAGAAGTTTTTCTACAACTGGTTTCCTTCTGGTTGGCCATTAAATGAACCAGGCTGCATGTCCACCAATTTGCAGCAGAACCGTTGTTTCACCGTAACAGTTTTTTGTTTTGTGATTTTATTTTTTTCTTTTTCCTTTTTTTAAAAATATAAATAAAGGTAGGACAACACAATGCAAGGCAGTCAACCATGTAGGGTTTGCCGTCAAGCTTTTAGCTTCTTATTGCAAATGTTTACTTTAGTCCAACATCAGTTTATTGTGCAGATGTAGACAGAAAATTAATCCCAGACAAATTTTAGGTAAAATTTTCTATCCAGGTACCTTTGTATTGTTTTTCCCCTTTAAATAGGTCAAATCCACTAATAATACTGTCATTGTATGGTGGCCCGAACCTTTCCGTGTGTTTCAACTGTAGGAACCGCACCTGTAAAACCTCTTCCGGGATCATTTTTAGGGGATAAAAAAGTGTTCCAGGCTAGGTACGTCTGACCTGCCAACATTAGCACCACCTTGTGCCTGCCTCATATTCCTGCTGTGGAAAGCAGCCTGCAGTTTGTGCTTCAGGTCATACTGTTATGTGCACTAACACATTTAATTGACTGTCTGAGTCACCCAAAAAGAAAGCCACTAAACACACACACATTACACATCATCAGCTGCGTTGCAAGTGATCACTGAAAATCTCAGTTGTGTTGTTTTGTGCTGAAAAGACCAGCAGCAAACGGTGTAAATGTGGACAACAGGGGTCTTTTATTGGAGCATGTTTTCATACAACTGGAATTACATACAGTAACGCTGTGCAGTGGTTGTACTGTAATGTACTTCTAGACGGCAAAGGATGAATGTGAGTTACCAAATAAATGACTATTTAGCCAACAGCAGTATGATGAAAAAAATAATGAAAGCATTGTGCGGAATGTCTCAGGCCTATAAAACCTCTGCCTCTCTTATAAAAACACATGATTTTGCACTCACTTGAAGTCACACAGTATGCAGATGAATACTACTCCTACATAACAACTGGATGTAAAGCACTAATATTTTTCTTGTTTATATTGGAAGCTTTTGTACAGACCAAAAAAAATAGCTTTAACTTGCCCTGTTAAATTGTTGAAAGTAAATATATCAGAAAAGTCAAAACATGTCAGGATCCCAAAAAGGCTGGGTTTTCAGTGTCCCAATGATTCTAGTATGTTGTGTCTTGTTGCATGCAGTCACTCATCTCTCTCTGTACATCTCCTCTCTGTGCACTGTACACTTCAGGTTTGCTTCCTTCAGCATTTTCACTGATTATCCTCAGTGAAACATTTAAAACATTTTGTTTTTAGGGCTCCACCACTTTTTTTTTTTTTTTACACATTTCCACAAAAGAAAATGTTCAAGCTACAGATGATTCCATCAGCAGCAGCTCATGCTGCAGCTGAACACTGTTCACGGAAACAGGAGAGATTTTTGGAAAGTCTTCAGTTCTTTCTTCACTGTGGCTTAAAATGGCCAACTGTTTCAGAAAGGCATTTGTAGAAATGTGTCTAAAATGATGCACATAAAGAAAATAAAATATCCATCTTCATTGTTTGAGTAGTTCACATTTTTACTGGCATTTTGTTGGATGCAGCATGAAAAAACTGCCACATACACACTAATAAAAACATCATCACTTCATCTGCTGGGGCCCACATGTACACTCAACTGCTCCCAGCTGCTTTGTTTATTGATTAGTGATTGAAAAATTATTGGCTGTGGAAAGTAAACACAGGAGCACTCAGACAGTCATCAGGGAAACATCTCATTAAATTTACAGCCAGCATGGCGTCTGTCCATGCACACACACACACACACACACACACACACACACACACACACACACACACATACACACGCACGCACACACACATACACACGCACGCACACACACACACACACACACAGTGGGTTTATACACACTGTGGAAAAGCTGTGTGTATCAGAACTGTAAGTGACTCAGGAGAATTGGAGCAGATTGTTATTCTTCATCAAGCTGAGCTGGGAAACGTGGCTTTAGTGATCAGCGGTGTCCAGACAGGATTGAGGGCTTTAATGTAACAAAATGCTGCTTTTATGCATGTAGAGAATGTTCAAGCAGGTTCCAATAAAAGTCTATAGTGACCTCTAGAGGTTACAATATGTCAAAACACGCAGTCATGATCACAACAAATGACTGCATCTTGACAGTCAAAGTCTGCAAGTTTAGAGCTGAACAACTTAGATTTAAACTTTTGATGCATGCGTCCACTACAGTGGACAGTTATTCAGACTTCCAGAAAAACCACATCATTCACAATAATAACTGAACCAGCAGGGAACAATCTGCCAACCCTTCTCTGTATTTCTGATCATTTTCTTTATAAACATTTTTTCTACTAAAATATTGCGTCAGAACTACAAAGTGGTTGATGGTGGTGGAAATTAGAGCTGGAAGCAAAAAAGAAAATTTGTAAAAAATTATCATAAGGTTGTCTAATAACGCATAAAAGGAAAACTATAAATTTTTGAACACATGGCAAAATAGACTGATGTGACTGAATATAAATAAAATGAAAGGTTTCATTGTGATATCTATAAGTCAGATGTTTTTGTTGTTTGTTTGTTTTTAACCATGTAAACAGTGGTCTAATGCAAGTGACTGGAACTTTACAAAATGATTGTTTCTTCTACTCTGTGCCAAAAAGCTTATATTAGCGGCATGTCCATACACCAAACTGTCCTGTTTTATTCCTGGTTATATTCTGAAGGTTTTCACTGAGAGCTTTGTTCATATATCAGTCAGGGCCTGATTCATAGAACAGTTTATTTCTAAAAACATGGAGAAAACAGATGTTTTCTGGCTGTTGACAGTGTTTCTACATTTTATGAAGTGATAAAAACAGATATATCAAAAATTCATCTCTGTAAAATCCTTTGACTCTAACAGGTCGGCAGTTTGAACTTGATTATCCATGGTTCAGATTTCTGTTATAGATGTTTAGCAAGTAGGGCTGCAAGGTGGCACAGTTGATAACACTGTTGCCGATCGCTGGTTCGCATCCCGGTGGGGTCACCCGGGATCTGTCTGCATAGAGTTTGTATGTTTTCCCTGTGCAGCGTGGGTTCTCTCCAGGTTCTCCGGCTTCCTCCCACACAGTCCAAAAACCTCTTGAGGTTAATTGGTGATTCTAAATAGTCCGTAGGTGTGAATGTGAGTGTGCTTGGTTGTCTGTCTCTAAGTGTGGCCCTGTGATAGACTGGCGACCTGTCCATGTGTCCCCTGCCTTCACCCTAAGTCAGCTGGGATAGGCTCCAGCTCCCCCGCGACCCCAGTGAGGATTAAGCGGTGTATAGATAATGGATGGATGGATAGTTTAGCAAGTATGTACTTTTTTTTTTTTAACAAGATAAAACCTTATTTGCATATTTCACATAAAATGTCAGAAAACTTGTGCTATACAAAAAAAACATCCCAATGTAAGTAAGTTAGTTAGTTTAAATCTTTACCCTATTCACTTGTAGTGTTTTGCCTTAAAATGCATTTTAAACCAATGATGTGCAGTGTTTACTCCAGCAGGCAGCTGTGTAACTTGCTCAAAGATCGAGGTAGACATGTTTTATGTCTTGTTTCAGAGTAATGTGAAAGTTTGAAAAAAAACTGAATGCATGCATGAAAAGTTTTAAGCTGCTTATCAGTCACTTTTATTGTTGATGCCTGCAAAAACACTTAGAAAGGTCCAAAAACATGCGGAGATTAAGTGATGATTCTAATTGTCTGTAGGTGTGAATGTGAGTGGGCTTGTTTGTCTGTCTCTCTGTGTGGCTCTGCGATGGATGAGGTTTAGAGGTATGTTGATGTAATACTTTGATAGTACTAAATAATCCTAATAAGGCTAACTACTTCTCTGTGAAGGATATACAACATATAAAGGTTGTGCATTAGTTTGAAATGAACTGAAAAAAAATACAAAATTTTTTTTTAAAATAGTGAATGGTAAACTGTGATTTTACAGATAATGGCTGCAATAACAAATACATCAAAAATCTGTATTTTTACAAGTAGTAATCAGTTCTTTTACAATGGGTGACCATAAAAATATACAGTTTATGTTTATTTAAATTGGCTTAAACCTACAGCTACTTTACAGATATTTGCCATATTTTTCATGATTTTAACAATTTTGGACATTACAGTATCCCACTGTTATATATATATATATATATATATATACACACACACACACATACATACAGATCAGGAAGAAAAAAAATTCCAGATCGCTAGAAGATGTTTTGTGATTCCTTTTGATCCATTGCTTGCAGATGAACACAACTAAATTGCTCACAAATTGACTTACGGTTTCTATAACCAATGGAAGGTTCTTTAAAAAATGGTTCTAAACTGAGATTAATCCTCACATTGGTCCTGCATGAATGTATGCCTGTGTGTTAGTGTGTGTGACATTAGTGTTATGTTCTCAATGTAAATATCAGTGACTACGAATTCATAGTCTTTACGGTTTGTCCTAGACTAACCAATTCAAAGTTAAGTAGATGTAATTAAACCGTTTTAAAAACAACCACAACAACAACAACAACAACAACAACAACAACAATAATAATAATAATAATTCCATCTCAAACCTTTATGTTGATAAATTCCCATTTATGAGATATACATGATTTCATTTTCATTATTCATTCTTAGTATATTTTATACTATAACTTTTGGTTTATATTTCCTTTAATTATACAATGTTTGACATGTTCTTACTTTCCGGGTTTATATGTTTTGTTTTATTCTTAGTGAACAGTTTGAGTCTATCTATATAGGATATGTGACTGAAAAATATAATTTTTTTGTGTGTTTTTATGATGAACATACGCGTTCGAAGTACGGAAACAATTACTTTTTCATATTCGTCATTACTTGTCTTGTCGCGGAACCAATAATATCTAAACCCAGTCCCCGCCGGAAATGTATAGATGTGGGACGGGAACGATGGAAAGATGGCGGCGGCTATGGTACAAATGTCATGTTTGTATCGGGGAATGTTAGCGGTCAGAGCTACCGGCATCAGGACGCTGATCCCCGGCCTGGTCCCAGCGCAGTTCCGAGCCTTCTCTGTGCGGAAGGAGCCGGATTTGGAGGAGAACCCGTTCTTCGGCAAGTACCAAGACAAGATCCAGCAGCTGCGCAGGTGAGCAGGCTCAGAGCTACCGGCAGCACAACATGGTCTCCGAGACCCGTTACAAAGTTTGCTGTTTTAAAAATCATTTGATGGTTAAAATCTTAGCATACACCCTGGGTTATCGTGGAAAATTTATTCGAAAGCGGGGCAGGCTAATGATAAACTCGGCTCATATTTCAATCATCTAGCATCGTATTTACGATTGTTGTGTTTTTTTGTTTGTTTTTTAATTACTAGTCAGGGCCGCCTATAGAAATGTTTCATAGGGCTGGTCAGATGGGAGCACTTAACACACAAAGTGACCCAAAGCCAGCGAAATGCAATGGAGATGTGCTCAGTATATAATGGGAAGTTGTCCAACAGTCTAAAGCTCTAGCAGCACAACTAAGGGACAACACAGGTGATCCTGAGCAGACCTAACTATAAGCTTTACCAGAGGAAAGTTTTAAGACTATTCTTGAAAGTACAGAGTGTGTCTGCCTCCCATTCTACTTCTGGAGACCATAAGTAAACCTGCAGTTTGAGAGCAAACTGCTGTGTTCGGATGATATTGTACAATACAGTCATTTAGACAAGATGGACACTGGTCATAAGGAGTTTCTTATGTGAGAAGCAGGATTTTAAATTCTATCCTGGATTTTACAGGGAGCCAATGAGGTGAAGCTAATTCAGATAAAGATTTTTCGCTGTTGGTGGTTCCTGTCAGAACTCTGGCTGAAGCATTAGCTGACGCATTTTAAGATAATTATTTGAACGTCCTGATAATAAGGAACAACAATAGTCCAGTGTAGAAGTTATAAATGGATGGACTAGTTTTGCAGCATCACTCTGAGACAGGATGCTCCTGATTTTGACAATATTACACAGGTGAAAAAAGGTTGTCCTACAGACTTCCTTTATGTATGAGTTGAATGACATGACCTGGTCAAAAATAACTCCAAGGTTCTTTACAGTACAACTGGAGGCCAAAGTCGCTGTCTGGTTAGAGAGAGTGTTTCTGAGGTGTTTAGGGCCAAATACAATAACCTCAGTTTTGTCTGAATTTAAATGAAGGAAATTCCAGGTCATCCAGGCCTTTATGTCCTTCAGACATGTCTGGAGTCTGACAAACTGGTTTAATTTAACTTCATAAGTATGTGCTGCTGTGTGGCAATGTATAGAAACTTCTAACAAATTAAGCTTGAAACAAAAAATGTATGCCAAATTTCTGAGTTCAAATTATTAATATATTGCCTGTTTGTAAAAGAAATACTAAATAAAGCGGACTTTTACAGACCTTGCAGCAGCAGACTCTGTCAGGGGTGAGAAGCAGTGAACTGCTGTCCTAAATACATTTTTAAAAGTGCTGCAACTACCTTCCATTTTCCTTCCACTTTTTGCCTTCCGTTGTTGTTTAATGTATATTTTAGAAAATGTCTATCACATAGTTTCAGAGTATCAAGTGATGTCTTCAAATTGATTGTTTTATTAATAATAAAACATCTACAAAGATTGGCAAAAGGCTTTCTGAGAAACGTAGGAAGTCACTAACTGAAGTGCAAGTGTACCAGCAAAGGAACATCAATTTAAAAAGTAAAAAATTTGTACAACGCTTATTGAAATCACTGATTTGATCTGACTTGTTTTCAGTGCCAAACCACAAGAGTACAAGACACGACTAGAGAAACGTCATGAGGCCCAGAAGGAGGTGCTGGGACACTCCAAGCAGGCCGAGTTCGTCAGGCTCATGGAACAGGAGGTGGAGTATCAGCTGGACTCACAGCTTGACCTTATACCAAGAATATATGCTTTGACAGTCCTTAAAGTTCTGAAATATTACAATTACACCAATTGCTGAGAAAATGAAACAGCCAAATCTACACTTATTTTAAATCGTGTATTTTTTACTAACTGGATAAAACTGTGACATCACTGTGAACCGCTGAACTGTAACAGTGCACAGTGAAATGTATTAGCCATAAATGGAGAAAGACGTCCTGTGTGCTTGTATTTATCACCACTATAATGAAGAATTAAAATTTCTTTGTTTGCTTCAATTTTTACAGTTTGAGAAAAGAGACAAAATGGCTGCAGGTGATGAAGCATCAGGAGGTTTCACTAAGAACAAGGTGAGTTGAGGGGAGGAGAATGGTATAAACAGCCTCCACTTCCACACACCAGTGTAGCAGGGTTTTTTTTTCTGATAATTACTGAGGTTTCCTCATAAAGAAAATACTAATATTGCTACAGTCTCAACTTAGCTTTTGCAAATTTGTTAGATCACCTTGAAAGCTGGGTTGGACTTGTGACGTTATCTACAAACAACATCAACAATTTCCCTGAGATTTCCACCAAGGGGATCAATAAAGTTCTATTCTATTCTATTCTATTCTATTCTATTCTATTCTATATTCATTGTTATTGTCATTTGGACGACACTGTATGAGCTGCATCAACCTGAGATCTTCAAGCTTTTTCAGTCAGGGCCCCTCAGCTCTGGAACTCCCAGCCTCACAGTCTGAGCAGAAATGATAATTTTTGTCCTAAATAGTTTAATCTCAATTTTGAAGTGTGTTACAGCCCAACTATTTAGGATCTGCTGGGAGGATAACAAACCAGGTGTTCTTGGTTTAGTAAAGCAGTTTATTGCTAAGTAACATTTCCGGTGCATTAAATGAAGAACCTCCAGAATGATCAACAGCTTCATTCCACAAGCTGTCAGAATGCTGAACTGCTGATCTAGATATGCAAACACTTACACACCATCACATACACACCATCCTGAAGAAACACTCTCTCATCTTACCTGTACTCTTGTATATGTACAGCAAAATGACAATAAACTTGATTTGATTTTTGTTCTATAAGTAACAAAAGAAAAGATGGTAATACAACAAAGAAAACAGGACTTGCTAACTCAAAGAACCAATTAAAACAAATGAACGCTAACAGTTGTAGAAACTATCTAAAACAAAATAGCTACACTCCCTAGCCAAACTTAAGACACAATAGCAACACCCCTAGCTTACAAAAGTAATGAACAAATTAGTGCAAGTGTAAAACTAAACAAACAAGTGCTTCTAAACACATATTAGCTCAGAGCTACAAGTAACCTGTTCGGTTCGGTTTCACATAAAAGACAAGACAATGAGAGACACCAAGGCAAACTGCTCCCGTTAAATCACAGCTGCTGGTAGTCCACTCAGGCACGGCAGTAGGCGGGAAGATCAAAAGTGTATGCAAGCCGTCTCCCTACACAGAGGCCATAAGGGATCCACCACATAAAGGAAAGCAAATGGACACCAGGGGCCATAGCAAGTGCTTTATGATTTAAGTTTTTTATCAGTCTTCTAACATATTAATATCACCTCAGTGTGATTATTATCTTATTTGTCATCTTACCCACAGTCATACATACTCCAGCAACTCAAAAGCTACCGTTTTATTTGTAGTAGTCTTGATGATTTTGGTGACGATGTGTAACAGACTGTAATGTGGTGTTCTGTAGACGCTGGGCTCCATCCTCAACCTGGAATTGATTAGGGACAAGACGGGTGAGGAAATTTCAGAGGTGAGTCTGGGGTGAGGTCAAATTGCTTCCTGTGGCAGGTAGAAGGTTTTGGAACTGTTTGTTCTTTTACCTTTGCTTTGTTCCTTGTGCTTTGTTGTCCTCTCAGCTTTGGATGAAATATTACTCAACAAAGGACACAATCAGCGCTGTCATCCCGGTGAGCTTAACACGAGTGAATCCCAGTATTTTGTGTTTGCTGTTGAAGTTTGCTTGTTTTATTTTTCTTCCACACTCAGTTTGAATTTCCAAAGAGGCATCATTTTGGTTATTTGCACCCCTTGTTGCTCAAGATCAGTTATGTTTTGCACAGATAGTTTTTGTCTTTTCGCCATATCTGACATGTCTTAAATCTATTTCTTACTTCAGTGTGCTTTGGTGGCAAAGTTGTGCCTTTAGCAGGGATGTTTTTTTATAACTTTGACTGTGCAGTTTTACAGTGACGCTGGTAAATGGAACATGTTTGCAAACAGTTTTACAAATCCAGCAATGATGAATCAGTACACACATGGTATTGATCAAGTGTCCTGTCTTTCCTTGTATGTGTTGTATTTGCAGACACAGATCTATGATGTGATTTTCAACAGAGCAAAGTCCTGCCCGATGGTAAGATTACTGCTCAGAATGAGACATGATGAGAAGCTGCAGAAAGTGAAGCACTACGGTTATCAGTCTGTCAGAATCTCCAGATATGGTGGTTATTTCCTCAATCAACACTGACTTGTTCTGCTACTGACAGTCAGCTTCTGGCTGAAGGGATGCAACACACCAGATAACCATCCATCCATCCATTATCTATACACCGCTTAGTCCTCACTGGAGCCTATCCCAGCTGACTTAGGATGAAGGCAGGGGACACCCTGGACAGGTCACCAGTCCATCACAGGGCTACACTTAGAGACAAACAAGCACACTCACATTAGCACCAACAAACAATTTCGAATCACCAACTAACCTCAACATGTTTTTGGACTGTGGGAGGAAGCCGGAGAACCCAGAGAGAACCCACGCTGCACGGGGAGAACATGCAAACTCCACACAGAGAGATCTCAGCTTGCTCTTCTAGCTGCGAGGCGACGGTGCTAACCACCGAGTCACCTTGCAGCGCATCAGATAACCAGCACCTGAGAAATCATCAAAAGTTAATAATGGATGTTGATCTGATCATGAAGCATGTCAAATGTTGTCACTATATTTTCCTAATTCATCACCACAGTCTCTCTGTCGTTTTCTTCATCTTCAGTTTCTTTACGCATTGCCCCAGAAGGAGGGTTACGAGTTCTTTGTGGGTCAGTGGTCTGGACACGAGTTGCACTTTACCTCTCTTATCAACGTCCAGGTAAACAGCTTCACACTCACAACACCTTCAAATGCAGCTGAAAAGCCCGCACACTGTCAGGGCTCCCAACAGACTGCTCATCTCTGAAATTCAAAAGCCAACAATCAACATCTTCATTGGCCAGATGAATTTGATTCTTCTGAGTAAATGATATTACATCTGCAGGGTCAGCTGTGCTGCATCCAAGGGTTAGCGCCACCCAAACAACTGTGATTGGTTTAAAGAAATCCAAACAAGTGAGAAGTTTGTTGAGCTATTTTTTGTGTAAAGTTAAGACTATTTTGTGGTAGAAAAAAAAAATAGTTTAGATGATTAAAAACTAAAATGTTTTTTTTTAAGCTTGGTGCATTTAACTTTGATAAGTTTAGTTCAGGAGCCTGGAAAAGGAGGCAACATTGTTAAATTATGTATTTGTTCAGATTTTTTTCAGCACTGCACTGGACACGCTTTACCCAGTGATTTCTGACTTCTGCTGGAGACAGTGATAGTTTGAAAACATCAGCAAAAGATGCCAAGTTTTTGCTCTATGCTTGTATTTTGTATATTTGTATATTGTCTGGAAATATATAAGAAACTCTGGCTGTAACAAATGCATTGATTCATTAAAAAAAGCCCACATATATGGAGGTGAATGTTTTATTGCCCCAAAAATAGGGAACGAACGACTGTCTGCCTGGAAAAATATCAGACCTGACATACAGCGTGTTTCTGATTGTTTGTATTGTTACTTTTGCTAACCCAATTCCAGTAGAGAAAACATTAAAATGTGCTTCTTTCTTCTTGGTTCAACTCTTTACGTGATTATAGTTTGGCAGCTGCTCTGTGGCCTGAAATTTTTGAATATAAAAACTCCACGGTCATAATGTTACTCAGTGTGGGGACTCTCGTTAGTAAATCAATAACACAAATGTTTGAGCAGCAGTAGGAAAGTATAACTGTTGTTATGTGTTAAATGCTTGTTTCCAGACGCTGGGTGAGAACGCTCCCAGTCAGCTGATCCTCTACCACTACCCGGACCTAAAGGAGGAGAAGGGCATTGTGCTCATGACAGCTGAGATGGACACCAGGTTCATAGTAAGTTAATTTTTTTTAAAAAAGCCCTAATTATTGGAACATACTGATGTTTTGAGTTTTTTTGGAACTTCTTTTTTTATTTTATAAATTACCGGTATAGTGTATCAGACCTGGACAGTAGGCAGGCTGATTCATGTGTAAAGACTTGAATATTTCCCTCTGTCCCTTGTCTCCCCAGACCATCCATCAGGCTCAGTGCTTGGCCAATCAGGTGCAACTGTTCTACAGCACACAGAGGCAGGAGACGTACCGATTGGTGGAGACATTTAACCACCACCCTGCAGACTTCAAACACATGTCCGTGATAGCAGAGCTGGAGCAGAATGGGCTGGGCTCTGCAGCCTCCCTCGGGGGTTCTTGAGCTGGACTGAAATTAGCATCAGACTGCCTGCTGTCAGATGTCCAGGAACTGCTGGTCTAATGTACCACCACAAATAGATGTTTTGTTACTCAGCACTTTCCAGTGGGATGGAGCTGCTTCTCATACAGTGTATAAAGTTTGCGGTAAAAGCTGTGTTTTGGGGAAAAGAAGCACAGATAGCTTTTCATAAACTTGAATAATCTGCAACACATATTGTGCATTCATTTGAAACTGCAGAAAACATTGTAGTAGTGGCATATTCTATAATGAATAAATCACACTGTATCCAAGTCTTCATATCTGACTGGACCAAAGGGACTTTGTTAGCCCATTAGCAAACCCTGCTACCATTTTGACACTTCGTCTTTAAACAGTTAATTTAATTCTGAAATTTACCGATACGTTCTGAATATTTTACCAGATTTTTCATCTGCTTGTTCTTAAAAAAACCTTTGATGTGTGGTTTAGACAAAGCACTAAAGTTCGGTTTCAGCGCTGTTGGTCATGTTCACATGCTGTCATCGGGTGGTGGGAGACAGTCTTGATAACTGTAATTGACCCTGCTTGTAATTTCCAAAGGAAATGGTGATCTGACTAATCCCTTTCAAAATTGAATGAATGAAAGTTCAATATTAAATTGAAAACCTGCTTGCTGAACACCTTTATCTCACATTATTCTTTTCTATAAAAATAATGATGCTCGCCAGCTATATTGCAGAGATCTGAAAATGCAACATTTGCAATCTAACAATCTCCTCATGTTGTCTCTCCTTCATCAAGCTTTCTGGTTGAGATTTTACAGCATTCCCAGACCACTGTAAGACTCCTCTAGTCAATGGCAAGTTGGAATATTGGCATTATTCAGGCATTCATGTTTAAACTGGAAACCGATTATGAAGAGGAATAATGATACTGAAAGTCACCCTGACAGCTTTGTTTTCTAAACAAAAAGCTTATTTCTGAATGTAACTTGGGTAAATAAATAAAGGTAGTTGAGTAAAAAGCACAATGTTCCCCTCTGTGCTGTAGTGCAGTATAAGTAGAAGGGTGCACAAAAATAAAGCACAAAACCCTCAAATTTCTTTTAGCTGCATGTGTATTTGAGTAAATGTAGTATGTGTGTTGTGAAAGCAGGCTTGAGAGGCAATCCTCTGAAGTGTTTTGTCTCTGTGGTGGTTAAGGACCTTCAAGCACTGTTGTGCATTCAACCCGATGATGTTGCCAAACTCGGTTTGGTTCTTACACTGCTGGACTATGACTTGAAACCAAAATCAAATTTCTTCCAGACGTGTTTCCCTTCTGTACATGGCATTGCCAGTTTATTCCAGTAGCAGTACCTTCAGAGTATAAAGTCAATGACAGGCTGGGGAAGAGAGGACATCGTCAAGAAAATAGACCCAGAAACCAAAAAACATCCCTTCATCGACCAGTACTATCCACCAGCTCCTCTTGTGCCTAAGAATGAATTTAAAGATATAC